AGGCCGACCATTGTATGAGGGCGAAGAGTCGTCTTAAGAAAGATTAGTGTCGAGGTCGAGCAAAGGGAGTATGAAAATAACGGTAGGATAAGTTAGAATAGAAAGAAGGAATATTCCATTGAATATTCTTTCTGTTGTACTTTTTTAGGATTTCTCATGAATATCCTCTATAAATAGGAAGAGATAAAGAACAAAAGGGGATCTTCACTTTTGGATAAGAGCACATTGTAAAGGGTTGACCGAAGATAATATACAAAAGTTTGTTTACTGATTACATTGTTCGATTTACGTTGTTCATTCATAAGATTCGAAGATTCATTACACATCGTTTCCTACCACCCAACGTTGTTGTCAGGGAAGAAAATCGTCTAAGTCACCTAACAATTGGGTGATAAATCCCTTCTTATTACACTTATTGTCATTATCTACATTTATTGCATGCTTCTATTACTATATTCATTGACAATCATTGGTCATATACTTGATATTTATTATTCTTGAACACGGTCTCATCCCATTGATATTTTCCAATTTTAGATCCAGAATTTATTATGTTTAACTAGGATTCACCCTCTATTTCCTCATTAATTGGTTTAACAAAAAGCTCAACACTTTTTGGTCAAATATACATGTCCTTAACTTTTGAACTTGGAACTCGAAGTTCAGGACTACATGTCCTTAATTTATGTGATTGTAACTCTAAATTAAGGACTACTTGTCCTTAATTTTTGTGCTTGTAACTCTAAGTTAAGGACCAAGTGTCCTTAATTTTTTAACTTCCAACTCTAATTTTAGGACTATGTGTCCTTAACTTATGAGATTGTTACTGTAAGTTCAGGACTAGCTATCCTTAATTTATGAGCTTGTAAGTCTAAGTTAAAAACTACCAGTCCTTAGTTTTTGAGCTTGTTACTCTAAGCTCAGGACTACATATTTTAACTTTTGAACTTGTAACTCTAAGTTAAGGACTACATGTCCTTATTTTTTGAACTTGAAAATCTAAGTTCTGGACTACCTGTGAATTCAGTATAAATATTGTTTATACTCAGAAAAGTTCATTTTCTCTTTCATGAAATATCTTCTAAAAGACATTCGTAGTGTTTTTCGAGACGTAAACACATGAATTCATGTTCCCTTTTTTTGTACCTAACGAAAGATTATTAGTGTTAATGTGATTATTAAGACGATAACAATTATTTTTTGCATCTTCTGGCATTTATTCCAACAAAGGATAGACATATCTGCAGTGTGTATTTATATTTAATTTTGATATAGGACCTCTGCAATAAGCAGCTGACGGTGAGAAATCCAAAACAAAAATTCAAAGAAACTAGAGCCAATGTATTCGATGCAGAGAAGACAAAAAAAAATTACTGCATGTAGGAATTAGCAAGAAGTAACCAGATGAAGTTCTGGAGAAAGAAGTGAGAGTTCTGAACTTTTGATAAAGGGTTTTGATAAACCGAGAAAGAAGCGAGGGTTTAGAATAAAAAGAAATGTAAGAAAGGGTAAAAATGTCTTTTCATATTAATTTTAATAGAGATGGCTATTTTTGCTCAATATTAGAATTTCTGGATAAAAAATAAATACCACCTAAAATAGTGACTACCCTACTCCAATTTTACCCGTAATTATTGAAAGCGGGTTATGCGGCCCTGTACAAATATGGGCCAGCTAATAGGCGATATTTACACAAATAGCCGTAAAAATAGCACGGGCTAGCCAATTTTTGGACTGGTCATTCAAAAATAGTCAGCGTTTGCAAAGTCATTGAAAAATAGCCACTATTTTGCTACAACACGAAAAGTTCCAACATAATATATTGGAGATTGGTGCACCTGTGTATGAACTTCCAGCATATTATGCTGAAACTTCAACACGCGGAAAGTTCCAGCATAATATACTGGAGATTGGAGCACTTGTGTATAAACTTCCAGCATATTATGTTGGACCGGTATATTATACTGGAACTCCAGTATATTATGCTGGAAGTCTAGTATATTATACTGGAACTATACTGGAGTTCCCGTATACTTATGCTGGAACTCCAGTATAATATACTCGAGTTCTAGTATTCCGAATTTTGAACAGTGTTTTCGTTCAAATTTATCTTTACATGAAAAGTGGCTAAATTTCGATTACTTTGAAACTGTGACTATTTTTGAATAATCACTTGTAAATCTGACTATTTTTGAATTTCTCCCCAAATAGCAGGCAACATTTATTTTGTTCTTTTTCTAGTCATATGTATAGATTATACATTGATTATACACAATTATACATATCTAATATATAAATTATGCATATATTATACCGCCACCGACTATTTTTGGTTTAAGTGGTTAGGTGGGTGGCTACTTGGGTTAATTTTTCTAATAGTAATGAGGGGCAAGTGCTCATATATTCATTCTTAGGGATGCTATTTAGAGATTAGTCAGTACTTATTTTGTCCTAAAATTTTAAACTAAAAATCATAACTTCAGGACAATACAGGACATTTTTTCCTGAAAAATTGAAATTCAGAACGTACTGGCTAATTCCTAAATAACAATACTTTAAAGTGGCTACCTGGTGTTATTTCTACTATTTTTCAGAGGTAAAAATTGTACGAGGCGCCCTATTTGGTCGCCCACATTTAACCTATACCCATTTTTTAAAAAAGTTTTAACTTGTACCCACTTTTTAAACAACTTCAGCCCCCTTTCTCTTCTTCTTTCTCCTCCTTCGTTTTCTTCTTCTTCTTCTTTCTTCTGTTGCTGTTGGTGCTGCTATGAAACTTCAGTTCATGGGGATGATTTCCATAAGTATGTTTATCAGATTATTTAAAAATAAATTATATATAACTTTCTAAAGTAAGTACGTACATGTATGTAAATGTAAGTCCATTTCCTTTGATTCACATTCTATTATTTTTTTTGGATTCAGCTTTGTACATCATCAATACATTTTAACATGTTGTGCTAAATCATTATCTAGTTTTTTTAAGTTACTAATTCTACTTATGATAAACTTAAAATCAATTACATGGTAGCATAAAACATGTCGAAGTTCAGCAAATATAGAACAAAACTTCAGCTAAAACATGCTGAAGTTCAGCAAATAGAGAACAAAACTTCAGCTACTAAAATGCTTAAGTACAGCAATTACAAACAAAAACTTCAGCAAATAGAGAACAAAACTCCAGCTACTATGCTTAAGTTCAGCAATTACAAACAAAAACTTCAGCAAATAAAGAACAAAACTTCAGCTGTTATGCTTAAGTTCAGCAATTACAAACAAAAACTTCAGCACACTTGGTTCAGCAATTTTTGCTACTTTAGGCCCGTCTACTAGAATGCTGAAGCTTGCGTGATTGCCTTTGCTACTTCAGGCCCGTATGCTGAAGTTACGCGAAAAAATGGGTACGCTTGAAATTTTTTTACAAAGCGGGCACAAGTTAAAACGTGACCCAAAAAGCGGGTATAGATGCAAATCCCCCAATTCAGAGATGCTATTTAGAGATTAACCAGTACTTATTTTGTCCTGAAATTTTAAACTAAAAATCAAGACAATTCAGGGCATTTTTGTCCCGAAAATCTGAATTGAAAAATTGAAATTCAGGACGCATTGGCTAATTTTTAAATAGCAGTCCTTTAGAGTGGCTACTTGGTGTCATTTCTACGTAAGTAATGAGGAGGTGAAGAGGGATGATTTTGACAAATAGCCACTTCTACGCTGCTAATTGAAAAACAGTCACCGTCCCAAAACTAATTCTTCTCCCCACAAAAGCGCTTCTTCTCCTTCTCCTTCTCCTTCTCCTTCTTCTTCTCCTTTTCGAACTCCAAGACAATGGTCTGAAGTTCAATTATAGAGAATTGAATTTCACGATGTTGTCCTGAAGTCACTTGAAACTTAACAACAAAATTCTAAGTTTTAACCTATAATAATAGTATTATTTATTTATTTTTCAGCCAAACCACACTATATTATCTTATATATGCGGGATTGTATGTCGCGATTAACTCTTTTAAATCATCAACCAAACTACCCTAAGGACTAGGAGCAAGGATAATACATAATTAGCACCCCTAAATTGCCCTTAATTATCAACTACACATATAAAAATTACTGTAGTCTCATTACGCCTTGTCGAAAACATGTCATTCCCCCGTACACAGCAAAAACCACTATAAAGGTAGTCGTTGTTAGACACACGTTGCCTAGTGTTAAGATGTTAAAAAAAGAAAAAAAAATTATTTTCAACATTAAGTGTTTAAACCCACCCCCATTCCCCTATTCTGTTTTCTTCCTAGCAAACAATGTACATAATTTAAGTTTTGAAGAGTTAACCCAAATAATTTCCCACCCAATCACTTAAACTAAAAGCAGCCGTCAGATGTATAATACATGTACAAGCCATATTACTATGTGTATAACCGTATATAATTGGTATATAATCTATGTATAACAGCTATGAAAAAGCAAATCCCGCCTTCTCTTTGTGTAAAGATCCCAACAGCCAATTTTGAATCTCAAACCTTCCCTTTTTTGGAAAGAAAAAATCTTCATCCCTGAACATCTCCTTTATGTTGATGCTTATAATGATTTGGTTTGGAATTTAAGTGATGAACTACTAATTATCTATGTAATTTGTCATTTGCTGGTTTTTTGAATGTTTATTTGAATTCTTTTAAGCATAGTACAGCTTGTCACTCGACTGCTTATTGCAACGGCTTTAGTATATTCAAGGAACAACTGCATGTTTGTGCAGACTCTTTTCATTACTGATCTTATACAAACTCTGTATAAGTGCAGTTACAAACTTTTGTGATGATATAATGGTAACCTCGACTGCTAGTTATGCTGATTTGAACTACTGAATGAAACCAGACCATTCAACTTGACGTTTGCACTCTCCTAGGGTGCGATAGTAGGAAGCTCTATCAGCGAATGTAATTCTCCACTCAGTAAAACCGATCAAATATGTATTATCCCTTCAATAAAAGAACTAATCGAGAATATTTTCGTGGCAAAAATCATCTCAGCAGAGCAATTATAATGCATCATAAGTAATTCACAAAGTACATAGTAAAATACCCTGCATAAATTGCTCCACTATGATACTTCTCTTGGCACTGTAACTACTGGAAAAGGAGAGCACCAGAGCAAGTATAAATTTTCACAAAAGAACAGAGGGCATCAAGGGACATATTAGGCCATCTAACAGATTAAAGATCTAGACATTACTATACACAAATCGAAAGACAATACCAAGAGAATTTGCAAAATCTCAAAACCTAAAGAAGTATAGAAAGCTGATCATCTTTCCCCCAACAATGATTCAAGAAGAGCAGCCTCTTCTTCCTGCAAAATGAGAGATCGAATTAGAGCATTCAGTAGTTGAAAATTTATATGCTAACTAAAGTATAATGTACATACCACTAAGGCATTAAATTCAGTCTCCTCATCTATGGCGCTGATGATGGCTGGGTCTTCCAAGAGTTCCTGTTGCAGGAAAGTGCAGAGACATTGTAAAATACACCCTAAATGGAAATTCAAGCTAAGAGAAAAGTGCACGAACAAGAAACAATGGCAGCAATTAGCTGACAGAAATAAGCTGCACCAAGAAACAAGGATTGTTTATATGCGCTCATATGCAGCAAAAGCATGAGTTTGAGTGTTTGACGTGCAACTTTTACCACCATAGTGTTCGGCCAAGTCCCCCAACTATATGCCAAATTGATCAGGTGCAATAAAGCCGTGACTGTTGAAACAGTAGAATCCCAAAACTTGGGCCATCTGAAAATATAGCTTTAGCTTATTATGAAGGATAGAGAGAGTGAGGACTTCCTTGTTCTCCACATATCTTTAGCAAAGAGACTCTCAAAGGAGCCAGGTTGACAATAGCATTGTTCGAAAAGGGAACACAAAATATATCTCGCCACTGACCTTGATATACCTTGACCCCATTTAGCAACTTAAGATATGACAAAACCTTTTTAATGAATGAGCAAAAAGATGAGACTCTTTCCAAAAGAGAAATCATGATTCTTCAACAAACTCTGTAGTAACAGAAACCCTAGAACTTTCTGATATAAAATCCTCTAAAGAAACGTTTAGATTAATAGAGATGGTTAACCTTTTTCTGGTATTTCAGTAGAGAACTAAGAGAGCTCGTTATCAGTGTGTGATGAAGTCCAATAAGAGTGAACATAAGATAACTCATATATGTATATCTCTACTTAGCAAGAAAATAAAATTTATAGCACAAATTGCAATTGAAAAGATATAAATAGGACATGAGGGGAATTTCAATGCTTACATCGTCAGCTATCTGCAAAAGACCATCTTTGCCCTGCAATAATAAGTTACACAAAGGAATTCTCATAAAATTATTAGAACGAGGTGAAACAAAATGAAAATTATCAAAATTAAAACAAGTGGAAATAACAGAAGAGGAAACCAGCAAAGCATACTGGACATAGCAAAAGATGAATTAGCTTTTACAATGAGAGCTGAAAACAAGAGCTTCTATATACAAATGAGAGATGACTCTTAACCTTCACTGCAACAAAGAGAAGTGGGTCCGAAGGTGTATAAATCATGTAGTGGGAACCATCCTGTGGAGAGGAAATCAATATCAAGATACATGAGACAACATTTGGCAACGAACTGCTTAAAATGAGGCACACAAAGACAGTTCTTGAGCTGTTTAAGAAATTCATTGAAAACCATGAATAGTGATAATAAGAATAAGAACTAACTTGGAGGAAAGAAGCTCGAACATGGAGATCTTACAAGCAGAAAATTTTCAAAATTTCCAATGTAAAATGAAGATTAACAACATAGATAATTTTACTCCAATATTAGAGTGTTAAACATGGAGAAGAGTACCATAAGGATAGCTTATTGTCTTTGATTGTTTTGCACCCATGAGATTCCTATTTGTATAGATGATTGGGTATTTTTGGTAGAGAATCATGTATTGATGTAGATTCTCTACTTTTTGGTATACCTATTGTATATGGGAGCTTTTTCCATTTATTAATAAAATGATTTACCTTATTCAAAAAAAAAATACAATGAGGATAAGGGATACTGTTTTGACATGATGACGACAACACTGACAGCTATTCTTTGATATAAATGCACTATACTAGTAAAGAAAGCTAGGTAAATTAACCAGTTGTTTGTGTCATTTTTTACCTATTATTAGTAGCCATGAGAATATCACACAGTGTCATTTACAAGAATTACTATTGTGAAAAACAGAATCGGAACAAAGAACCAAGTTTCACTCAATCACACATTATTTCCAAGACCAAGTTTAAGCACACAATATTCCCAAAGACAAAATCAAACTGTATTCTAATCTTTAATGCCCCTTAACATGGTTTTCAAAAAATAGAAAAAATTGGTCAACTGATAAATCATTAGAACCAATAGATTGAGTTGCAAATTTCCATTATCAATTTGAACAAAAGAGCAACTTCAAAACAATAGTTGTCAAGACAGATAAAAATTGAAGATAACATATAGCTTTTACCAGCAATCAAGACAGATAAAAAGGAGCAGTAGTTGTCCACAAGTTGAAGTGCATAAGTTACACCAAGAGAACACATTATTGTTCAATTATTATCCCAGCTTGATAATGATCATTTAACACAATGGACAAATGACTATTTACCATGTGGAAGCATGTGATTTCTATGCCTTCACTTGGCAAACCATCTACATCGTCACCATCATCTGGAAAAGTGCAACAACCTTTAGAAACAGTTGAATTCTGTTGGATATTATCCAGAAAAGAGATTATGTACTACAAAAGAGACATTATGGTCATAAACAAACAAGCTTCATTCTAACATATAATGAACTATGACCCATCTTGACAGATCCAGATAAGAATACAAAGAATTGATCAGGTGAAAGTCCACAATGCAATGACTTGAAAACCAAAAATCCACGGGGATAAGGCATTAGCTCACGTTGCATGGACCCTAATTCCTTCCACACCATCTATCATCCCCAAGAAGAATTGGAGAAAGCCCAAATCAGTAGGGGGGAAAAAGACAGGCCACAAAGAACTCAAGCCTTGGACTATGGTCCTTTGAAACCTGAAGAACTTATTTCAGCTGTAAGTAAATCCATAGTTCCCCACGGTTGTCCTGAAATAGATTATTCTGCCAGCTATACAACATCCAATGAACTATTTCAAGAAACACCTACAGACTATTGTTGATCCAAGATAGACTGTAAAGTCCTTCACCAGATCTTAAAAGTCAAAGGCAAAACTTCACAAGTGACAAGAAATTATTATGTTATTGCTAGCATCTCGTCCTGTATAAGAACCAGAAAAACATAAATCCTCGTCTAAGTTAGACTATAAAGACTTGTTACAAAGTGATACCAAATCAAAAGAGGATATAATGACCTAAGTTTTTTTAAACCAACTAGGAAACTAATAGCTAAAGGAAAAGCTAATGAATCAGATCCAATTTTGAAAACCACTTATTTTCGACCAGATTTAAAAGGCTAAAACAACATTAAGATGGATCGGAGGTAGTAACAATATTGACTGCAGTAAGACGCAGCTTTATAAAGACGAGAGCATTGCCTGTTCTGAATTCAAATATGTCGTCCTCCGTGTAGCAAAATCCTCCTCGTGCTGTGTAACAGAATCTGATAGAAAATTGCTAGACAACATCAGAACATATAAAAATGAAATCAGTTTTGATACATGCAAGGAGGAGGATAATTGAAATAAAGAACAACCATACTTTAAAATCAAAGGTCTAGAGATTGTACCCACTGTACACAAGATGCATGTGTATCTTGGCTAGAGCATAGGCTGCAGTTGGTAGGATAGCTTCCACTTCTTCATCGCTTACCTACAAAACAGGCGTATAAATTAATAATATATTGCGATATGATTTATAATATGTAAAAACTATTTATTCCCTTTTTCTCTTTCATAATTTCTAACAATTGGGTGCATGAAGGGAGAAAAGCAGGTCAAAATTCCTAATATGAAAAAATTAAAGGTGACTGACTTACTTAGAAAAGCATTATTCATACTAGTAATTACTAGTATTATGCAACAGAATAAAGGGTACAGAAAAGATGCAAGAATAAGAGGACACTGACAATGGCCTACCGGTGTTCCTTGCTTCTTATAAGTTAATTGGTTACAATATGCATTTTCCAAATGTCAATGACTGACGGAAAACCATAGGGTTTCAAAGTAATCTGCTCTCATCCCAACACCTTAGTAGTGAAAAGAACAAAAAAGAAAAGGGAGAGAGAGAGAAGGGGGGCCAAATGAACACTATCAACAACGTGTAACATTACAAGACAGCCCAAAATTCTTCAATGGGATCCTCAAGCAAGCAATTCCTGAGTTCACAAACGGAAGGAAGCAGGAAAGTTGAAAAATTAATATATTCTAGATCCATTTGAACAATGATCGCTGGTTAAGAAAGAGAAATGAGATAGACAATCAAGACTCTCTTGGCAAGTTTCCACAAACATAACAGAAAATCAAGTTTAGTTCAGACATACAGCAGACCATCCCTCGACATTTGTGCTCTTTAAAATCTGAACAGGCCTGCAGAGACAAATACATCTATTTAATGCACCGCCAGAAAAGGATAAGATACCAAATGATAACTATAAACTTCACTTACATATCAACAGGGCAGAGTAGTAAACATTCATCTTCTCGTGAACTTCTAAAAACCCTCCTGATGATGCATTCCAGTGGAAAATTGTTGGTAGAATCAACCTGTTGCTGAGCCCTTTAGATAACTAAATTGGCAGATATAAAAGAGAACGGAAAATACAAAAGAAATTACACAAGTACATGAACTAATTTAGAAGTGACTGAACAAGTTGCTCATACAAGTCAAATTTGAGGAGATGATTTTGCACCTATGAAACGTCAACTTAGGTAGTTGCACACGTGAAATCCGATTAAGAGGTAACAGAGATGTTGTTATGTGTCTGCAAAGTCGCTTTCAACTTTCAGGAAATTAAAAACCAAGCACTCTAAACATTTTCTCCTCCTTTTTGTGAGAAGCTACTAAATCCTATAAGAAACCGAACATGGACCTCAGAAAAGATGAGCTGTTTTCAATGTGATACTGTCCTACATGATGTTCCAGCACACTAAAGTTGGGCAAATCCCTAGAACTCTGCTAAACCTTCGGTAAATTGAAATTGACCTGGCCAACTCTCTTACTTTTCTTACTTCAAAAGAAAAAACAAAAGGAAGCAAGAGGAAAAAGAGAGGATGATCTTTTTTGCTTTCTTTCATCAGTTTTCTCCCTGAATGAACTCTTGCATTCCTCATATTGACATGGAGTGTCAAAGGTATGTACTGTAGCAATTTCATGTTGAGTTTTCTCCAGATTCAAGGTGTATTATATCCCTTTTTCAGTTTAATTGAAGACTCCAAGGCTACTACAATGACTTTACTTGATTGTTATCTAGAAATTGCCCTTATCTTGTTAGATCAGTTAAATATGTTTTTTTTTTGAGAATAGATCAATTAAATATGTTTTTTCGACAAGGTAAGATTTTAGATCAATTAAATATGTTTTCCTAGCCACTTTATGAGGTTTTAATAAAAAGGTATCCAAAAGTTCAACTTGCAGAAAGGAATTTCTGCAACATGTTGCAACATGAAAAGCAACGATTATGGAAAGTATGAATTGATATAACAATGGTAAAAAAATTCAAATTTAGGCTCATCGACAGGTTGCCTTGTTGAGATTTATTCTTCCCTTTTTGTTCTCTGGCAAAGGAAAAATTGTCCAAAGTGCATTTGACATACCAAATTTTCAATGTACGTGAGAATAAAAAATGAATATATCAGTCAACATCCGTCAAGTTTCTGTAGTAGGAGTGTGCCTTGAGTGTTTAGTTTTAGCTGCAAATTGTCTAAGTTCCTAATATGCTGCTTTTCTACGAGACTGCAACTAGAAATCACATTCCATTTAGACAACTTCAATACCACATTTTTAGTTTGCTCTAATGTGTTCCTTTTTTTCTCTAAATTATGTGAAATACATCACCTTCACTTCTCCTTTTTCTAAATAAGGATGTGCAATACATCACTTCTTGAAAACGGCAGAATGCTAATCCCGAGATCCCAAAATTTATAAGTAAAACAGATGTGGAAAACAGAACTGAAAAAGAATTCCACAAATTCCCTAGGCTGGCATTTACAGGCAGAATTGTCCTTCTTGTATTATATACTGTATCACGTACTTTGGCCATTTGCAAACATATTTAAGTTATGTACACAGACAATGTAAATCCTTACAGTATCATTGCAATTCAACCTGCTCGAGCCCCAGGGCTTTGGTCTAGAGGTAAGAGCACAGTGATGTGTGGGTAAAGTGCACAACAGGGTTCAAACGTTGCTGCTGCTACAGATAAAAGACTGGTATTTAAGTGGAGAAGGGTCCATTATCCACCTGAGTTTCGAACAGTTCTCCACTAGCCGGAATTTCTTGGTTATCCAAAAAAATTCAACCTGCTCCACCAGGTTATCCTTCCTCTTTTGCTCCCTCCGTTTCAATTTATATGACACACTTTACTTATTAGTCTGTTCCAAAAAACTAACACATCACTATATTTGAAAACAATTTAACTTTAAACTTTTCATTTTACCCTTATAGCCACACAAATGTTACGACCCCAAAAAGCTTTTACCGTTTAAGCTTTCAAGACCACAAGCTTCAAAAGTCTCATTTCTCTAACTACTTAGTCGAGTCAAACTAACTCATATGAATTAAAACAGAGGGAGTAATAGTTACCGACCCATGTTAACGAAATTCGATTTTAAATGACCTAATTTTGTAAACACAGTTTTTCAGTAACTGTCAATGCATAAAACTTAAACTCTACTAGCAGCTTTAGCATACATTATACAAGAATATTAGCAGTAAGAATAAACTCACAATTGTAGCAATACGCTTATTGGAAGCCATAAGAACTCTACCCTGCTCATCTAAAACAAACCCAGCTGGCGGTTTAGGTAGCGGCAACGGAACGTAATGTTCTGCCTCTTTATCTTCAACTTCAACATCCACTTCACCTTCGAAATTTGAAACATTTTTCTTTTTCTTTTTGGTATTATTTGGAGATGTACGTTGTTTTTTCACTGGCCCAGTTTGTTGTTTTGCTGCGGAGCAAAATAATCTGAGTGTATTTTTTCTGTTGAAGTAAGAAGCTGGAATTTGGAAGAGAGGTGGAGATTGTGGATTGAAAGATGAGGAATTTGGGAAAATTGCAGAGAAATTTGAAGGAGAAGAAGTAGAAGAAGAAGAAGGAGTGCATACAAAGAGGGAAGCCATTGTTATGTGTGTGTGTGTGTGTGTGTGTTTCTTCTTAGACAGACGATAACATTGGAGAAGATATTTTATTACCAAAAGTTTGGAGGTCTAAGGGAATTGGAAATTAAATGGTCAGATTTGCCCTTGAATTAGCACTCACTTTTGGTCTAGTATTATTCCATTGTTCCACTTTAATGGTGAGATACTGACTCAGTTTTCGGACCGGTAATTGAAATACAGTCGGCATGTGTAAAGTCATTAAAAAATAATCGTTATTTTGCTTAAACACGGAAAGTTCCAGTATAATATGCGGGATTATGGAGTTTATGCGTATAAACTTTCTGCATATTATGTTGGAACTCAAACACATTATGCTGGAAGCTCATATGTAAAAAAATGAAACTCCACCGTATTATGTTATAATATTTTCGAAATTTTAAGGATGTTTTTGTTCAGATTTTATATTTACATGAAAAAATGAATAAATTTCGATTATTTTTTAAATTGTGGTTATTTTTTAATTACCAGTTGTAAAATAATCACGGGACAAAATTTTAGTACCATCTTATCCCTTGTTTAATTACTAATCTAGGATAAGTTATCTGGGATTAAAGATAGTATTGGATAACTTATATCTGTAAGATGGTGAAATAGTAATCTCATGATTATCCCAGGATAAAGCAATAAATATGAAAATGTCATAGCAGAAGCAAGATCGAAAATGTCTGCGAGTACATAAACCGCTTGAGTAGACCTTTCTTTGATGGCAGTAATTATTTTTTGTAAAGAACCAATTTCGATACTCATAAATATGAGTAATTATTTTTTGATGGAGGTAGTGTGTACGCAGACCTTACCCTACCCTGGGGTAGAGAGGCTGTTTTCAAATTGAAACCCGGCATCCTTCCCTGGGAGACTCGAACTCACAATCTCTTGGTTGGAAGCGGAAGTTGTTTACCATCAGAGCAACCCCTCTTGTCTAATTTCGATACTCATAGTGGGTTGATAATCCACATCAAAAGGCATTCCACCAAATAAGACTCATCTTTTGGATCCTGCTTAATTCGTTTCAAGTTAAAGCTCATTAATAGTAAAAACAAATACGAATAGCAAGAATATAAATTGACCAGAAAAGGTATCGAATAGCAATGAGCAACTTCAAATAATAAAGTTCAAATTTGCTCTTTTCCCCTTGATATAATGTTTATATATAAGTTTTCATGTGCCATAATTTGGGACAAATATTAATGCATACGGCGCAATCCAACAGTTTACAATCTTAATACAACAATCTCATGAGCTACTAATAATTTTCTGATTTGGCTCGATTTGGAAAAAGAAAAAGCTCGAATATTGTTGTTGTATTGAGAAACTAAACGGGTGATTTAAGAAAGTGATTTTCATTTTTAGTACTAATAATCTTTCGAGGGAAAAAGAATTTCTAAAAATGAACCAATCTACTCCCTCCGTCTCGTATTAACTGTCGTGGTTTCTAAAAATAATTGTTATTTGACTCAAAAGATATTGGAACCTTTTTGAATAAATCAACTAAAGAAAATGAAGGGGTAAATCTTAGCTAAGTATAATAAATTCTAGAACCAAAGGAATAAAAGATGAACACAATGGATAATAGTTATTGATCTCGCGAAGATGAGTGATTGAACATTAAGAATGCCAATCGTTTATGTAAGAAAATATTACAGTCAATGTTCTAAGCTAAAAAAAGCCAAAGTCCTTTTACAAGGTTGTTTTCCCGCTATATATAAGGGACAAACCCCTTTTGAACCCTAAAAGACATATCATAGGGAATATTCGAAAGAATATTCTCAGTGCCCCTGTTGGGCTTGCACTACAGTAAAAGTCATGCAATATCTTTTCGTTTGTCTGTCGTCCTCCACAGGACGTCGAACTACGAAGATCTCGTCGTTTGTCGTACTCGTCAATGGTCGTGGTCGTCCAAATTCGGACTCATACAGTTAGTCCCTCTGTTTGTCGAGGTTGCAACTTGGTGCGTCCTTGATAATCGGACACCACCCACTCTTGTGGAGAAATTTGGTTTTACGAAGCGTTATGGCTTGGCCAACAATGGAAGGTTAGCGTGCTCAACAAGACACCAGATAGTGTCTCTTATCGGGAAATAACGTCATCTCTATGTGCGCCATCATTATACGTGTTTTCGAGATAGGGGTTGAGGGCTTGTCACTTCGATTTTGGTGCCACTTTGCAGCCTTCCGCTTCGATTATGGTGCCACCCAATCCTATAAATAGGTGGAGGGTTTATTTTTTTCAAAAACTATTGGCCATTTCATTGCTGGTTATCCTTTCTCATTCCTCTCGTGTTTGCTCCAACGATTTTTCTGCTTCATCTTCTCCCATTCTTCGTTCATAACTTTCTCTATTATTTTAACACATTTTCCGTCGAAGAGATTCCTAGAACACATCGATCTCGTGAGGGTCTTTCTGACGCCACCCCGTTATCCGTAGCGCTCCTCTCTGACAGTGAGGACATGGCGGTGGAAGAGGGGGACAACTTCCCTACCTTGGAGGAGTTGCTGCCGAAACACCCCATGTCTCGAAGTAATTTTCTCAAGGATCCTCCTCCTACTCCTATCCCCATGCAGGAGGAAACGGATCAAGTTCATATCGATGCTCTCCGTACAAAATATAGCATCCCTGCTCATGTTGATATGGTTCCAGCGAGAAGGGACTTCGTGGAAGTCCATAGGCCTGGGTACTGTGCTTTTTATGAGTACCCTTTCGTGATCGGTCATTCCTTCCCCCTTCTTCCGTTAGCGGAAAAGTTCTGTCGATTCTATCAGGTTTGCCCGGCGCAACTTTCCCCCCACACGCTTAAAATACTTCTGATGTTGACAAAGTACGCGGGGTTGGCGGGGTGCGAGGTTACCGTTCACCACCTTCTGCACTTGTTCACACCCAGCTTTCATAGGGGCACTATGGTGCATTTGAGGCACTGTGGGACAAAAGGGCTGGTGGTTGGGACCAACGATCGAGCAAGTCGCAAATTTTGGCATAAGTACTTCTTTGTCAAAACCGAACACATTGTGTCTGACCCCGCTAGGTTCCCGGAGCGGTGGAACAAGAATCGTAAGTGTCACCACTTGTTTTATTCTTTCTTTTCTTCTTCATTCATTATATTGCTTGTTTGCCTCTCGCTTGCAGCTGTGGGGCGTCCACCCCACCCTATTGTGGGTATAAGAGATTGGGTAGCCCGTCTGTTGCCCCATGCAATGGAGACCCGAGATTGGCCCGCTTTCGTGAAACGTTTTGGGCCGAGAGTTTCATTTGGTAAATGTCTTCCCCTGTATCACTTTGTTGGTTATATACCATTGTTTATTGATACGACTCTTCACGATGACAGGTCGAGGAGCTTCTAGGCGGAGGGCCCAGTTCCTGCATTTCGACAGGCTGTCACTACTACAGGAATGCAGTTTACTTTGAATGAATCCGTCCAAGAGGGTCGTGCTCAGCCAATACAAATGGAAGATCCTTATCGGGATATGGTCATAAGGGAAGAGGCCTCTTCCATACCGGCCCCTCACCTCATGGACGAATCCTCTAATGGGGATGAGTCATTACTAAGGAAAAGGATAAGAGTGGAGCTTGGGAAGGATGTGGCTGTGGACACCGGTAAAAGTAGGATGGGTGCGTCGCAGACGGCACCTGTGCCCATGTTTATGGCCGACGCCATCTTGGTGGGGAGGTCTCCCCAAACGGAAGGGGTTTACCAGGGAAGCGGCTCTGTGCGCTCTGCTGAGGGTGGCATATCGTCTAACGTTAGGGGGGCATGCACGTCGAGGTCGAAGGCTCGGGTTTGGATGTCAACCCGGAGGACGTTCGCAAGTTTTTAGAATGATATACTCATGTGGAGGTTAGAGTGGAGGGTTCTGATCGGCACATAGTTGTCCCTGGGGACTACAACTTGTTATTGAACTGTGATCAGGTGGCGTTTGCTTTAGCCCCTTTATGTGCCACCCCCGAGAGCGAGGCGCTTAGAGCGATGAGCGATATGGAGTTGTCTCGGAACGTCGCGGGCATGGCCTTGCGGGTAGATTTCTTTCTCTTCCTTTTCGTCGTTGGGTTTGCGTTATCATTGTCGACCTATCTTTTTGTTTTAACTTTTTTCTTGTTACCAGACCCTTATCGTGGAGATCGAGCGCGAGTGTCGGGAAAGGAGGAGGGCGGCCATCTACGGGAAGATGTCTTCTAAATATCAAGAATATCGCACCAAGCATCGTGCGATGGCCGACATCTACCATCAAGACCCTAATTTCCAACTGTTTCACGAAGGGCTTAAACAGAGGGAGGATCAGTTGATGCGCAAGGTCGAGGAGTTGAGGGAGCGAGACGAGGACTTTATGAAAGTCGTCGTCCACAATAGTGAACTTGAGGCATCCCTTAAGGTAAAGGAAGATGAGCTCGAGTTAAGTAGAGGGGTGATGGCCAAGAATGCCGACCTGCAAGCAAAAATAGCCAGTTTTACTACCGAATTGGGTATGAAGACGACGGAGATTAGCGAGCTCAAGGGTGAGTTGAGTGTGAGTGCCGATAAACTGGCGACTGCTATTTCTGAAGCGGCAGTCTTGGAAAATACCCTATGTGTCTGTAGGTCGGAGTTGACCAAAGAGAAGGAGGCATCCACGCTTAAGGTAGCGGGGGCTTGAGGGGTGTATTAAAGAGTTGGAGGTGGAGCTATCTACGTTGACTGGACAAGTGGCATCACTGAGAACGGAGGACGTGCGTCGACACTCGCAACCTTAAACATCCCGTGCATCGGCCGATCCCATCGTGCCCCGTTGTTTATATGAGTTGTGGGTTCACGCCGAGGCCCAGCTTGATATGTACAAGGCTCTTCACACTGACAATAGGGCATCTTAAGTAGAACTTCAGGATATGCATGCCAAAGCTCAGGCAGCTCGTGAGGCATGCGGATATAACCCGCTTACACCTAACGGAGATGATATCAACTCTGATAATGCGAACCGTCTTGTGTTTGACTCTTGGTACAAAAATATGTATGCTACCATGGATGTGATTTTTGGTTTGTACTTACTTTTCCTTT